TTTTTGCTATAATTTTGTAAAGAACAACATTACTCTATTATTGATTTTTAAGTATTTATTATATTTTAAAAATATTATTTGAAGTTTTTTAAATTTCATAATTTGTGGGACATTAAATGCATAAATGCATGAGTTAAATTTCTTAAACCTCAATCAAAATATTTAAATAAACAAGGTTTTAGTCTAACAATTAGACTGATTAGGGACCGCAACCAAAAAGACTCATTCTATTAATATGTAATTTAGACCATCCCTAAATAAGATGCCAAATTTTAAACAAAAATTTTAAAATTTAAAATTCAAGCTTATGTGACTCATCAATCGATATGTCAAATTTAAACAATTATTAATTGTATGACAAAAAAAAATTATTAATTGCATTATTTACTTTTCATTAGGGGTGGGCGAGGTTCAGTTTGGTGTGGAGTTTTTGCGGTTTTGGTTCGGTGCAGTTTTGAGGTTAAAACCGAAATGAAACCAAACCTTTTGGTTCGGTTTGGTTTGCTTTTAAACGGTTTTGGTTTGGTTTCATTGTTTGAAAAAATAATACACTATTAAAATTCAATCATGCATACACTATTAAAACTGCAAGTTACTGCATTGTTCAAGCATGCATACAATATTAACATTCAATCAAGCATGACTTCAATTATAATCAGGCATGCATGCATACAATGTCACATCCCGGCCCGGGTGGGACCACTTCCCGGGCCCGCTTCCACTACCGTAGCACGATATTGTCCGCTTTGGGCTTACCATTCCCTCACGGTTTTGTTTCTGGGAACTCACACGAGAACTTCCCGATGGGTCACCCATCCTGGGAGTGCTCTCGCGCGCTACTCGCTTAACTTTGGAGTTCCTACGGAACCCAAAGCCAGTGAGCTCCCAAAAGGCCTCGTGCTAGGTAGAGATGGGAATATACATTTAAGGATTACTCCCCTGGGCAATGTGGGATGTCACATACAACATACATTATTACACTGATTCAACTAGAATCTTTTGATTGGCTTGAAGCTTGTTGTGGTTGTGAATTAAGAATAATAGCAAGCACAACAATTAACATCAATTAACATCAACAAAGTGGTACGAAAGGTGGATATGCATTCGGTGCATGTGAATATTACCTACATAGGGTTTGTTTTCGAGTGTGCTAATGGATTTTCGTGTTTTGAATGACTGACTACCATTTGGTGCATGTGAATGAATAATATCTAAAGCAGCAAGTATTGTTTGTTTGAAATATCTAACTGAGTGGAGACCGAGGGAGAGACAGAGAGTTAGATGAAGAATGAAGTTGAGTAGCAAATGAGTAAAAGAAAGAAAGAGTACATACTACAACTAGAAGAAAGAAAAGAAAAAGATTATGAGGCCATGGTATGATGTGGTTGAGTCCATACTAAATGTATGGACTCAATGAAATAACCAATTAGAATTTACATTTAATAACGTTATGCAGTTTCGGTTTCAGAGGGCCGAAACCGAAACCAAACCGTTTTTCCCCTATTCGGTTCGGTTTTAAACCAAAACCGTTTTGAAATCGCAAAACCAAACCGTTCGGTGTGGTTCGATTTGGTTCGTGTTTTGGTTTCAATTTTCGATTTCAAGTGCCCACCCCTACTTTTCATAAGTGTAATTAGTATTTGTTTATCAAATGATAGATTTGTTAGATTTGATGTTAGATTAGGGAATCGACGAGATTCGAACCCACACCGTGATGGAAGGGCAACACTCATCTCTACCACTGTGTTAGAAGGCCACTTGCGTGTAATTAGTACTCTTAAAACAAAAGATAATAACAAAAATTATAAAAAGCATTTATTATCCACTAAAAATAGATTTGAAACTGCTGCCAAATTTGACAGAAACTCCCTCTGCTGCCATTTCATGTCATGCCACATAGGAATTGACATTTCGGTTGGAAAACATAGTGCTGTCTTTTTTAACCGTTATTAATTATGTAGACTTTTTGACATCTCATTTGAATATGCTCTTAGATATACTTTATACAGGCTTTTTAAGGAAGGGACCCCATTTTTTTTTTTTTAAATGTTAATTAGTTGTGTTACCCACCTCTACATTGTATTCAATGATCTGAATTGTCTATTTTGTAAGTCTCGATTCATAAATCATCATTGCACAATTCAATTTAATCTGAATTCATTTGCCTATTTAATTATCACGATAAAATTTAAATGTTTTTTGGATCCAATGTCATAGTCTAAACTACAGTTTAATAAAACACTGTTTGTCGACCAAAAACTAATAAAATTATTACTATACCCTTTAATACAAAACTGAAAGAAAATATTAGAAAATAAAACAATGTGGGCATTAAAATAATTTTGTACAAACAAGTTTTTACTTTTTTTTTTTTAACCTCACAACTATGAGCTATGTCACCTTATCAATACCCTCCCAACTGCAAGTGGCCCTTTGCCACAGTTGTGGGAAATTATTGAGTTCTTACATTACGGCATAGCTTCAAACCTCTTCGGTGGCTAACCCACCCAACTCATTTTCTCTTTCCTATTTTTTTGGGATGTAAAAACAAATAACTCCTATACTTCAAAAATCTCATTGTGTATTCCAAACTTTTTATAATTAAAAAAAATATATACAATAGTATAAATTGAGACTTTTAAAATACTAATAACAGTTTCATATTTAAAATAAAATAAAAAATATATTTCTCAACACACAAAGTGTGTGACCTTTACAAGTACACCAAATACTATAATATACTTGGGTGAAAACAAATAAAAATTCTCTTCCTTAATTTTACTCTTCTTCGGGGACTAGTTTAAAGAAGTGAGGTTTGCTGAATTTGTGTAGCCAACTGAAACTGAAGATGAAGATGAAAAGGATAACCACAAGACCTCCATCTCGAGGTAATCTTCCTTCTTTCATTTTTACCATTCTGCGGAATCCAAGTAGGGGATTTCATTCCGACGCTGTTAATGCTAATCCTACTTGTACGCATACAATTAAACGAACCCATTTGGTGTCGGAGAGTATGATTCAGACTCGATGCAAATCTGGAAAAATTAGGAAAGATGAAGCTTTGGGTTACTTTAATTCCATGATTCAAACCAAACCCTTGCCCTCTATTTGGACTTTCAATTGTTTGTTGGGGGCACTATCCAAGATGAAGCAATATTCTGCTGTGGTTTCTATGTGTAAACAGTTGATGGGTTACGCTCATTTCCGACCTGATGTCAGTACAATGACTATTTTTATGAATTGCTTGTGCCGTCTGAACCGGGTGGATTTGGGTTTCCCTGTTTTGGCAATTACCCTTAAATACGGTCTTGAACCCGATGCTCATTGTATAACTACTTTACTTCACGGGCTTTGCAAGTACAGTTCCTGGGCCGAGGCAATGGAGCTGTTCAAGTTAATAGAAGAGAAGGGATACACATGCGATGCAATCACTTATGCTACCATGATCAATGGATTATGCAAAGTTGGGAAAATTTCTAAGGCAGTCGAGATTCTTAAGAAGATGTGGGAAGATGGAAGGTTTAAGCCAAACCAAGATTGCTACAATCCAATCATCGATGGATTGTGTAAAGAAAGCCGAATGGATGATGCCTTGACCCTATTTCGAGATATGATCAGCAAAAGTGTTGTACCGGATATTATCAGTTATAACTCTTTGATTCATGGGTTATGCAACATGAGTCGCTGGGAAGAAGTGCTCCCTCTTTTTGAAGGAATGGAAGATCATGGAGTCAGGCCAGATGTTGTCATCTACAACACTTTAATTTATGCATTGTGCCAATCGGGGAGGTTGGAAAAAGCCAAGAGCTTCTTGGTTTGCATGCTTAACAGTGGAATTTCACCCGATGTATACACCTATAATGTTCTTATGAACACTCTTTGCAAGGAAGAAAGAATTCAAGAAGCGCTTACTCTGTTGGAAACTATGACAACGAAGGGCATAAAGCCGGATGTTGTCACTTTTAATTCCTTGATTTCTGCGTCATGCAAGTCTGGTAACTGGGAAGAAGGTGTGAGGCTATTCAAAACCATGATTGATCATGGAGTCTTGCCTGATATTGTTACATACAATTCTGTACTGGATGCTTTATGCAAGGAAGGGAAGACAACAGAGGCACTGAATCTTGTCAACGAAATGTTCCGTAGAGGGGAAAAGCCTGATGTTGTGACTTACAACTCTTTAATTAAAGGATTGTGTCGTACCAGCCAATGGAAAGAAGCCACAAGGTTGTTTGATGAAATGGTATGCCATGGAATCTTACCTAATTTCATAACTTTGAAGATACTTTCGGGTGCGCTCTGCAATGAAGTGATGACTGATGAGGTTCGCAAAGAATTTAAGGCGAGAATAGATGGAGCTTTGTAGCTTGGTAAGGAAATGGTCCAAAAAGGATTGATGCCCGGTCTGGAAACGGGAAGAACTTTAAGAGGTTCTTTGTCCTACTGCTTCATGTGCAGAACAACACGTTACATGGTTTGAAATTTATATGAATGAAGAGTGGTCATATATTAGTGATACATTTCCATTCACTTGGTATGTTTTTCTTGTTTTTGTTACGCTTTTGATTCATCACCTTCCTCACCCACCTTCGAGTTTATGTGAGCCGGAAATGGAATATATTTTAGCCGCACATGAGCTGCATCGATCCCTCTCCTTTGATCTAAACAAACAATCACCGTGGTCATTTATACGTAATTCATCGACTGCAGTCTGTATTTATACGTCCTTACAGCTACTGAACCAATTTGGAACTTCACTGCCTATAACACTCATAGCGCTTCACATAATATAGATGAGCAACGAAAATGTGCAAGGACACGTTTAATACATTGGTATTGCACATTGGATATAAATACATAGCCGTGAGGGGCTTGCAGCTTGGTTGGTCCCATATCAACCAACAGTGGGACGTTACTGAAATTACCGACATTTTCAGTGGAAGAGTGCAAGATATCTAATGCTGAATTCAATACCTAGATATTTCTAGTCCGTTGTGTGGTTTAGCTCTGAAATTTCGTCCCATATCAAACATCGACTAACTTTGAACCGTCGCGTAAAATACAGTACCAAAGCCTACTAAAAATCCCAGACTCAAATAACCATACTGACAATATGCACCTAAGTCGGTAGAAGTAAACACTTAGAGCTAACACACAGACAATATGTGCATCAATAATTGAAAACTTCACTTCCAAATTTCTGAACTGAGACGCTACGGATGCTGATGCGCAGATGAGCAGCATAAAAATTGTGCCCAGTACGGTCTCCCCTTGGCTTTCTGCTTTTCAATCTTGATCTCTGGAGGGTACCTTGCCGGAGAGTTCCATTCTTTTGCATTGTCTTTCCTAGATGCCTGACCTGTTGGTGATTCGGGAGCCAGAATTGAGTTCACTGTCGTTGTTAGACGACCATTGTCCTTCCCCGTCACTGCTTTATCATCTTTCTGAAGCGTAGGGGCTTGACTTTCTTTTTGGTTCGGTGACTTGGCTTTGTTCTCTAGGTAGGCCTCACCCAAAAGGTTTTTCAAAGGAGTGTGTTGCTTCGCAGTGCTCCAGTTTGTAACCTTGGCGATGATCTCTTCATTCTTCCTTCTCCCTGGTGATTCGTTCACAACATGAGTAATAGAAGGAAACCACCCAGCCTGCAAAGGTGCAGGTTTTGGCTGTTCCAGGTTCTGTGCTGTCTTGATTTCAGCACCAGTAGCCTTTTGATTATCAACGCCTCCAGGTTCAACCAATGTCATGAAAGACGGTGCCTCAAACGTATCAGATTTGTCAGAGTATTGCCTCTCAGATGCAAGTTTCGCCTTCTTTTCCAATGAAGCTTGGGGATCTGTAAGTGGTACAGCTTCAGCATCAAGAACAGCTTGTGCCTCTGACTGGATAGAATAAACTGTACCATGCATCAACAGCAAATAGACCGAAGTTAGGAAATTTTAACACTTCCTTTTGAGCAAAAGCATTGAAAAAGGTATTTATGCATAGAGAAAAGACAGTAAAAGACAGCCTAGAAACAAAAAATATAAATATGGTATACAACTATTCTAAACAATTGTAAATCTATCACAAAAAAACATTATTAAACGATATATAAACTGATCCAACGAGAAAGTGATATTAAGGAGACCCTCTAGGATGGACATATATGCTACACCTACAAAAATATAACTTTTATAAGTAACTCATTAATACTTATACCTGAAACAGATCCCCAGTTGCCTTCGAGGCTGTCAGTTTGGCTATTCGAGTCAACAACATCAAGTGCAGACGAATTTGTCTGTTGCTCAACAAGTTTATCACTCTCTTCCTGCAAAGATTGAGAAGTCAACCCAGAAGAAACCCCAAGGAGCTCTCCGGAGCAGTTATCTTCAGCAACGGTGAAACTTGGAACAGAAGATTCAGTAGCTAAAGAGGACAGATTTGGAACAGAAGATTCAGTATCTAAAGAGGACAGACCCACTTCTTTCGTTCCACAGTCCATTAAACTCTTCTGTGACGATTCAACATTGGGACCATGTTCTGACCCAGCAGCAGTGCTGCCCCCAACTTCTAGCTGGACCTTGTCATTACAATCAATCTCACTTTCCATCACACTTTTCTTTGTATCTGAAACTACATTGAGGTCAGCTCTGCTAGAATTTGAACTGCTGTCCACGTTCAGTTTTGGCTTCGCCAAAAGATTCTCCTCAATAGATCCTCCCCTACTTTTATTTCCAGATATAGGGCTCTTTTCAGTTTCACCCTTATCGTGATCACCAGAGTCATCGCCATTATGTATATCTGTTGGATTAACTTGAAGTTCGGAGAGACAACTGGTATTTTCCAAACTAGTAATGGGGTTCTCAGCAACAATCTTCTCCATAGATACTTCAATGTACTCATCCCCAGTTATAGCATACTTTTCAGTCTCATGATCACCATCGTCAATAAAATTTCCTTCTACGGGTCCTTTGCTGCTATGATCCGCACTCAAATCACATTTTTCATCTTTCTCATTATCATCCAGACCAACAGAGTGTGTTGTTTGATTTATACCAGTACTGCTCAAGGATTTTGCATCAGATGCAACATTTGTATCACTTTCTGGAAAGTTCACCTGTAACGACTTGTAATTATCATAAGTCACCTGTCCTTCAGGAAAGCCAACCAAGTTTTTAGCTACCTGAGGCATCACAATGTCAGCAGGGGTTGATTTTTCATCTGAACCTTGGTTTTCAGTAGTCTTGATCTCATTCTGAGACACACTGGCTTCTTCAGAAGGCACTTCTTTAACCATTGGCTTGCTGCTGCCTCCATCCAGTTCATGGCTAGCTTCTAAATCATGCATTTCTGAAGAGGCCACAGTGCCTCCACTTAAATTACTTGACTGGAAGATTTGAGAATTGTCATTTGAAACAGGATTTTTAACACCGTTTTCCTCGTCATTAAATTGTTCCCAAGAGTCCAGAAAAGTGGGCTGGTCTAGTTTCTCTTCTTTGTAGGTTTTGAAACCTTCAAGCATTGCCGCAGCATTGTCTACCACTGGTAGGTCATCAGGCACAGAAAGCACATGTACGTTTGCACTCCCTTCACCCTTCGAGTTGCTACTCTCAGTTAATCCACCAGAACTGAAACAGTGCATCTCGTCTGTGGTATCCACCTTATTTTCTGCGGTATTAACAGAAGCTTGTGCATGTTCAACAGATTCAACATCAGGGGAAAGACCAACTTGGGGAATATCCAAATCAAACACATGAATACGCTCTTTCTCTGATGGAACAACTTCAATATCTCGCAGAGAGTCTGAAGTCACTTCAACTGATCTTTCTAACTTAGAGGCACCCTCAGCTGTTTCACTGGAAACTTCATTGGGTGCGACCAAACCGTATGGTAAGTTTCTATCTTGATCACTTGCTTCCATTTCCTTCACCTGCACCTCCTGTGAAATGGATGTTAAAGAGCTCTCAATCACACTGTCAGTAGCATGGGTCTTCTTGCTATCTTCTGATACATCTGTAATAGGGTGTACGTCATCTTCAGAACCATTCCTATCATCCTGCACAGCTGACTCTGAACTCTTCATTGAATCAATGCTAGTGATTGACATAGATCCCTGGGACTCCGGTGCATAGCCCAGCTGATTAGTTGTATTCTCTGGATTTATGAAACTTGCATCAGGTTATTGAGAGATAAATCATTCTGTTAGTGCAACTAATGTAATTTGACGACAAAGGTGGAGAAATGTAACGACAATGTTAAAGTTAGGTATGGAAAATTAGGCAATGTAGGCATGGTTGAATAAAATAAATTAGGTGCAATTAATGTGTTTTGTGTGGTAATAAATAATCTTAGTTTATTCATTTGGTTTGCTATAAATACCCAAGTCCTCAAGCATTGTAAATCATCCAAGGAAATACAAAGCCTAGAGCTAAATAAGAAAAGCTTTGCTAATTAGTTTGTTTTGTGAGCTTTCTTTAAGAGTGTGTTCTATTTTCTTCTTCTTGGGATCATTAGAGTTATCTTGGATACTCTTCTTATTCAACAATTGGTATCAGAGCCAAGTCGGTCAGGGATCGTTCTTGGTAGAGCATTGGTTGTAAAGTCTCTTGAAATTCCGAGTATGCTCTGTGGTTGCAGTTTTGACTGATCTTCCACATCAGAAAAAATTTCTTGAGATTATTGCTGGGGTTATCACAAACCTTGAGAGGGAGCTTCTTTGTGTCGAGAGTAGTGTATTACTCTGCACGGTAGTCACTCAAGCTTGTTCGGTGTAGTCAAAGTCTTGCCGATACGATGGGTGATCTTCAAGTTGTTGGAGGAATCAAGAAGCTCAACAACCAAAACTATAACACGTGGGCAACGTGTATAGAGTCTTACCTTCAAGGTCAAGACTTGTGGGAGGTTGTCGGTGGTAGTGAAGCTACACAACCGGCAGCGGAAGATGCTAACGGTGTCTTGCGGAAGTGGAAAATTAAAGTAGGCAAATCAATGTTTGCTTTAAAGACCACAATAGAAGAAGAAATGTTGGAGCACATTCGAGATGCTAGAACGCCAAAGGAAGCATGGGACACTTTTGTTACACTCTTTTCGAAGAGGAACGATACAAAATTGCAACTTCTCGAAAATGAGCTGCTATCGATGGTACAACGCGACATGACGATTGCCCAGTACTTTCACAAGGTGAAGTCGATATGCCGCGAAATTTCAGAATTAGATCCAACAGCTCCTATTGGGGAAACCAGGATGAAGAGAATAATTATCCATGGTTTGAGACCCGAATATCGAGGGTTCATTGCCGCTATACAAGGATGGCCGACACAACCATCGCTTGTTGAGTTTGAAAATTTGCTTGCAAGTCAAGAAGCTATGGCCAAGCAAATGGGAGGAGTCTCACTGAAGAGTGAAGAGGAAGCGCTCTACACCAACAAAAGCAAAGGCAGCTTTAAGCAGCGTGCTGGTGGTGGATCCAAAAGAAATGGTGACAAGGAAAAAGGTCATCAAGGAGGAGGGAGTTCTCGGCCAGGGGGAGCTCCGAAGTATCACGGCAACCGTGGTCAGTCCCAGAATAATAAAAAATTTGAGGGCAAGTGTTACAATTGTGGAAAGAATGGCCACATGGCGAAAGATTGTTGGACCAAGAAAGAGCCTGTTGAAAGTAATACTGCTACTTCCAGTTATAGTGAAGATGGCTGGGATGCTGAAGCATTATTCACTACGGAGGAAGAATGGGACGCAGAAGCATCATCTTGTTGGTGCTCAGAAAATGAGGCGTCACCTGACCCAAAAGAGTTTGAAGATACGTTGCAAGGGAAACTGGGAGACCAAGCTGTCCAAATCCAATCAAGTCCAGATGAGCCTGAAGATTTGCTTACTGGAGACGATGTCGACCAAGAAGTACCTAAGAGTACTTGGCAAACTGGCATGTATCAACAACCAGACGAGGAAGGTGGGCCTAGTGTACCGGAAGAATCAACTCCACAATCTCAACTCCGAAGGTCAACAAGAGCACGGAGACCAAATCCCAAATATGCCAATGCAGCCATAATTGAAGAAGCAACAGAACCTGAGACGTTCGAAGAAGCATCGCAGAGTTCTGAGTGGATGACAGCTATGAAAGAAGAGCTTGATGCACTTCAGCAAAATCAGACTTGGGATCTCGTGCCAAAGTCAAGAGATGTGAAACCCATATCCTGCAAGTGGGTTTACAAGATAAAGCGTCGTCCAGATGGGTCAATCGAGAGGTACAAGGCACGATTGGTAGCTCGTGGTTTCTCTCAACAGTACGGACTAGACTATGATGAAACGTTTAGTCCAGTAGCAAAGCTTACAACCGTACGAGTCCTACTTGCACTTGCAACTAACAAAGACTGGAATCTGTGGCAGATGGATGTGAAGAATGCTTTTCTTCATGGAGAGCTGGATCGGGAGATCTACATGATCCAACCAATGGGATTTCAGAACCAAGATCATCCTGAATATGTGTGTAAACTGCGGAAAACACTCTACGGATTGAAACAAGCACCCAGGGCGTGGTATGGTAAGATTGCTGAATTTCTAACACAAAGTGGTTATTCAGTAACACCTGCAGATTCCAGCTTGTTTGTCAAAGCCAATGAAGGAAAGCTAGCTATCGTGCTAGTGTATGTGGATGACTTGATCATAACCGGTGATGATGAGGCAGAAATTCTTCGGACGAAGGAGAATTTATCAGTCCGTTTCCAAATGAAGGAACTTGGTCAACTCAAGCACTTCCTTGGTCTAGAGGTTGATCGCACACAAGAAGGAATATTTCTCTGTCAACAGAAGTATTCCAAAGATTTATTGAAGAGGTTCGGAATGCTCGAATGCAAGCTGATCTCTACGCCGATGGAGCCAAATGTCAAAATGAGTGCACATGAAGGAAAAGATTTGGAAGATGCGACGATGTATCGACAGTTGGTAGGTAGTCTGATCTACTTAACCTTGACTCGACCTGACATTTCTCATGCAGTTGGTGTGATGAGTCGATACATGCAAAATCCAAAGAAGCCTCACTTGGAAGCAGTTCGACGAATACTGAGATATGTGAAGAGTACAATTGACTATGGTCTTTTGTACAAGAAAGCTGAAGACTGCAAGTTAGTTGGTCACTGTGATGCTGACTATGCGGGAGATCATGACACCAGGAGATCAACAACTGGGTATGTGTTTAAGCTTGGTTCTGGAACCATCTCTTGGTGTAGCAAGAGACAGCCAACGGTATCATTGTCAACCACTGAAGCAGAGTATAGAGCAGCAGCAATGGCAGCTCAAGAGAATGCATGGCTGGTACAGTTGATGAGTGATCTACATCAACCAGTAGATTATCCAGTACCATTGTACTGTGATAACCAATCGGCCATTCGCTTGGCGGAAAATCCAGTCTTTCATGCAAGAACTAAACATGTGGAAGTGCACTACCACTTTATCAGAGAAAAGGTTCTACAAGAAGAGATTGAGATGAGACAAGTCAAGACGAATGATCAAGTTGCGGACTTGTTCACAAAAAGTTTAAGTACAGGCAAGCTCGAAATTTTTCGCTGTCTGCTCAGCACAGTGCAAAGAATGAGAGCTGACATTGAGGGGGAGTGTTGAAAATCAATGTCAAAGTTAGGTATGGAAAATTAGGCAATGTTAGGCATGGTTGAATAAAATAAATTAGGTGCAATTAATGTGTTTTGTGTGGTAATAAATAATCTTAGTTTATTCATTTGGTTTGCTATAAATACCCAAGTCCTCAAGCATTGTAAATCATCCAAGGAAATACAAAGCCTAGAGCTAAATAAGAAAAGCTTTGCTAATTAGTTTGTTTTGTGAGCTTTCTGTAAGAGTGTGTTCTATTTTCTTCTTCTTGGGATCATTAGAGTTATCTTGGATACTCTTCTTATTCAACAAAATCATTCTGTTAGTGCAACTAATGTAATTTGACGACAAAGGTGGAGAAATGTAACGACAAAATATATTCACATAAAGAAATGTACGCGAACATATTAAAAATAATGCAGACCAATGCAAGAACACAGAAGAACATTCACCATCACTACATTACAAAAGAAGTCGATATTGGGTACAATTAATGTTGCACTGAAGAATATCATCTCTTTATCATGAATTTTAAAAGGACTTGTGAACTTCAAAGGCATGAAAACTCGTTTACCCATGATAACAAATATAGCACAACACGATTTTGAAATTTTTATGTGAAGAACTCCCATCCAACCAAGTGTACAGAAATGTAATATCAGAACTCAAGGAAAAAAACAAATTCAATGAAACACAGATAGATTTTAGTTCTCAAGCGCAAATCGGTTTCACTTTATACGCTGTTTGAGTACTCTCGAAGTTTGGCAGAAGTTTTAGTTGTAAGTAGATTAAAATCTAACATGACACACCTTATACTCAATCTACAGGTTACTGCAGCTTAAAAGAATTTAATCCAGAACATAAACTCAGTATCACACTAAAATTTCATTTTGGTTTGTGTTTTCCATACTTAAAAATTGGACCAACATTTCCATATTCTTCTTTTCTTCGTATCAGAAAACATTTCCATATTATCCATACATCTTCTCAAAAAGGACAAACATGTTAACTTATATAATCAAATTAGTTGTCACCAATCAAATAAAAAGGGCAACCCCAAGCCAACAAGGCTCCCCGCTTTGCGAGGGTCAGGGGTGGCGGTATGGGTGTGTGGAACGTCAAAGTGACTTAACTAAGAAAGAAAGAAACCCAACCTAAAACAAGCGGAGCAGGCATGTCTCCGTGGCATGAGCATACAATACGACCCATAATCTACTCATACTATTCAACAGAATTCACAAGAATTATCCACTCATATTCCAACCTAGACGTGTCATCACTGTTGAACAACCTATATCCTACATTGATGAAGGATACAAAATACAACCAAGTGACAAAGCAAAGCAATTGTACGCACTGCAGGTGTGCACACTCAAATACCCTACAGAACCCATCCCTCCCCTTTACAACGATTTATTTTCCTGATTAGGAAATTATCATGTCATACTTCAATGCAATGGATTAAACAGATAATTGTTCTATTTATTCTAATTCATTTAATTTGTTTTCGAGTGCCCTCTTAATAAAGAAAATAATGATTAAGCCGCAAAAAATCAAGTTTTCAGACCATAAACAGATACATTAACTAATCAAACAGTTACATATAAATAATTAATCAAATGTCACCAAAACAGTTAATATGATTAATTGGACTGGTTTATTGAAACGTTACCATTGATTTCCCCATCATTAGGGGATTGGATGGCATTCAAATCATTCTTGGCAACCCTTTCCACACTAGTTGCTGATTTCAAAACATCTTCTAACCCTTCTCCGGTTCCTGCACCAGATCCACTATCCAAAAATTCTGCAACTGCATCTGAGAACACCGCATCTTCTGATCTGACAGATTCTCCCCCAACGAGACCACTGCCCTTTTCGTTGTTACTTCTTTCCAAGACTTTCGAACCTTACACAGAAAATTTGGTACCAGAAATACCATGATTTAAGATCTATCAAAGGAATTAAAGAATAATATATCTAATTTCCCATCGGCTTATCAACAAAAACTGAAGAAAATCAAAACCCCTCTTACTGTTTTGAGATGCAATCAAATCATAGTTTATCATTTGTTTTACATACTTAGATGCCGGTTTCTAACAATATTTTACTTATTTATCCAGGTGATCTCTCTATCAGCTTGATAGCATAGTCCTAAATACCTGCCTCAACGCATAAACAAATCCCAAATTCCAAAATTTTAGAATCTTTCCAAATATTTTTACAGCCACCAAACAGGGTAGATTATATAGAGCGGAAAACTTGATTAGCTCACTTGGGGTTTTGCGGTCGTCATCGGAGTGCTCATCATCTGACTGGGTGTTCTCCTGTAAGCCAACCAACTTGTAGCCATCAATGGTTCCACAAATCCTCTTATGAGCACGCCTGTGCCTGGCACTTGGGTGTGGGTTAGGAAAGGGCCACCCACATTTGCTGCAAACATGGACTCCTCCATGGCTCTCATGCCCTGCAATATCAACAACCAAAAACACCAACATTCAGAAAACGCAAAAAGAATGGAAAAAACAAACAACAACCCAGATTATCAAATTCTCAAAAATAAGCAAAAACACCAAAAAAACAAAAAATTAGCAAACCCTTAAACCCCAGAAGCAAACAAAACAAAGATTCATAAATTCACAGAAATAATCAAAAACACCAAATAAAAATAGAAAACCCTTAAACCCCAGAAGCAAACAAAACAAGGATTCATAGAGAGGGAGAGTACAAGAAAATTAAGATAAAATCAGAAAAACCCATCAAAACATTTCCAACCCAGAAAATCAAAATCCAAAAACCCAGAAAAATAAGAAAATCAAGATTCAGAAAAAAAAAGAAAAGAAAGATTATGAAATTCTAAGGATTCACTTATATGTTTATCATGGATTTATGAGACGAGATTTGAGCTTTTGAACTTCGATGTTTGATACAAAATTTTGAGATATATTTTTGGTACTTACCTAGTGGGTTATCATACGACACATCCGCACACCACAGGTATAGATGTCTATGACCATAGGACAAAGATGATGGAAGAGTGAGATATGATATATTATATACCCTAGCTTCATTGTCGAAAGCAGTGTCGGACAGCTTCACTAGCCATGACTAGTGTTGGTGTGGATGAATGCTATTTTATACAGCTTGACCTTCGGGCGATGAACATGTACTGCCTTCGAGCAACTATGATACCCCTAGTTGAGTACTTCACGGATACAATTTATAGATGTTTTACAAATGTTTTACACGGCATGCTAGACTGTTTTTATAAAACCTATACGTAGTATTATATACATGTTTTCAAAATAGGGGGTTAGTATGTTCTAAAATAAACTGGTTTCGTACTATTAGTATTATTACAAATTATGGTCCACTCACATTTTCTGTTTTGTGCCCCTCAGGACATAGCGACGAAGAGTAAGACTCGAGTTTCGAGGCTTTTCCCTACCAGTGATCTGCTCACTTCTATTTACATATGACCCTTCTTAACTATTGTAATATGATGCTCACCTTTCTTTAGCATTCTGTTTATTGGTATGCTTTGGACGTATTGCATCTTTTACTTTGAATTTGTAATTCTTGATCTTTCTATTTCGTTCATGTGGATTTTACATCATTATTGTTGTCACTTAGCATTTATTGCTCCATATTATTCGTGTTTGTTTATACACTTAAGGTTTTTGTCACCCTTGAGTGTCGGTCCGCACGTGACATCCACTTGTTATTTGGATATCTGGGTTAGGGCGTGTCATCTTCCTCCCTTCTTGCCTATGTGCAAACAACCCTCCCATTCTCTTCCCCAGTGAGAACATCCAATCTCTTCTCCGGTGAAACCAACCCTAAATTCCTCACTTCTCCATTAAGCCCACCCCAATCCCTCTCTTCTTACGCGAGCCCACCCTAAATCCCTATTCATCCGGAGCTCGCCCCAATACCTTTTTTCCCTTTTAAACCTGACTCCACTCATCTCTCATCCGACGACCTCAACTACCCGAACCTATTTGTTTGCCGACGAGGTCACTGTCAACCCTCTCTTCGACGACGACCCCACCTAGTCCTCTTCAACAACAATCCCACTCTAGTCCTTTTCGACGGGGTGTTGGGGTGCATGAAGAAGACAAAGGTTTGAGGGTAAGGAAGAAGATTGGTGTTAGGTTACTGAGATAACAAATGGTTTTCTTTTTCTTTTTTTATTTCTTTTTTTTTTTTTCTGGTAAACGAGATAACAAATGTTTGGGGGGGAGTTTTAAATAAGAGAAGTGGGCTATTCTCATTAGGCCACACCACGAAGTCAGTAAATTGGGTACTCCCCAGTGAGTACCTAAACATTGTCCTTGATGAGAGGCGGACAATTTGTTAGCCCCTATTAATATTATTTGAGAAGGATAAAAATGTCCTTAACATATTGCCCTGTAAAGAAGGAAAAACTAGTGCCCCTACTAATTAGTTTTTTTATTATTATTTATGTTTATTAATAGGGGTGGATGAGAATTTAATAAAAACTAGCCTTCTGATACATAGGTACGGATGTGGCAATTGATTTTTTTTTTTAATTTAAAATTTTCTGTTTTAGATCTAACTACATATTTAAAAAAAAAATCAAAAACAAAAGAAGAATAATTAACCACCTACAACGTGGGTTTGAAGATTCATTTAAACATTTAAATTACCATTTTCCTATTTTGTTTGGGTAGTTGTTCATTGTTCTTCTTTATTAAAGTGAGGGCATTACAAGAATAGTAAACATTTAAATTACCATTTCACTATTTTGTTTGGGCCGATTCTTCTTGCTGACGGCATTGGTTTTCGTTCATTCTTGCCATTTCGCTAGCAAATTGTGCACGTATCGGATCTTGGGACTTCCCTTTTCTCCTTGCTTCTTTTTGCTTATCTTTACTCGGGGGCCTTGGAAAAGAAGAAGTTGGGCTCATTTGGTCGACACCTTCATTGTCAGCAAAATTCACACCTTCATTGACATCATTTGGGGGTGGGGCTGCATTATGAAATAATCTTCCACATTGTTGATTCGCATCAGTTCCCCACCTCGGACAATCCTTGAGGATGTTCCAAGCATGATGTAACTTAAAAGCTTGATTTTTTGGTGTAGTTCTTGTCTTTTAAATTGTCATTGCTTTGTCACCCTATGCAACAAATACATAAAAACATTTAGTTGCAAAATACTATTATGTACATGACAACTAAAATATCAATAAAGAAACTCACAATTTCTGAGGCGCCCCTTCCACTAGGCATGTCAGCCATGACTCTCTCCCAGCTTCCCTTCCACAAAGTGCACGGTTTGTTGATAATCTTCTACCGATCATAAACACCACCAACTTCCCTTCGACCGGCGTTGGAGTTTTCATGGAACTTATCAACGATTTTACCCCACAAAACCTTTCTATTTTGATTGGTGCCGACGGCACCATCTTCGCTAACAGAAATTCATGCCAAACATAAAGCAATATCTTCGTCAAAGGTCTAAGTACGACCTCTAACATGCTCTTTTGCCATCTTGAAAATTTGGAAATGAGAAGAAATCGTAGAAAGAAAAATTGGAAGAATTGTACGAGGAAAGTGAGTTTTGTGTGGATGTTTGAACAAATACATAGGTATTTATAGAGTTTTTGGTTGAATTTCAAGTTAAATAATTTTTTAAAAATATTTTAGCCATTGGATTTAAATTTGGACCGTTAGATTTGATTATATTCAATCTAAGCCGTTGGATTGAATAAATATATAAATATAAAACTAAAAAAAAAAAAATTGAACCTTGACCGTTGGATTGACCAACGACCCATTTAAATATGGTCGTTCGATCGAAAAAAGTAGCCGTTAGGCTACTGACGCCATCTGACAGCAGGGGACACGCCCACGTGGGTTAGGTCCCCGTGGGAATTAGGCTGACGCGTTGCTGCACGTTGGGCGACTGGCTCAAGCGTCTGGGCTTCACAACCCGTGTTTCACTCACAACAGGTAGGGCCCATAATGACTTCTAGCCTAAAACGGGCTGGTATTTGGCCTTCTTTTGAGTTTTAGGTTTTGTTTAGCACATAGGGTGGAGTCGGTTTGGGGGCCGGGGGGGGGAGTGGGGGAAGGGGGAATTTTAGGTTATAAGCCATTGTTGGAGTTGGTCTTAGTACACATACACACATGTTCTAATTAGCCTTTTTAATTTATTATTTTTAGATATTAGTATTAGTTTTATAAAAATAAAAATAAAAATCTGAGTTAATATTTAATTATTAAAAATATAGTAAAAAAGTGATCAAGTAACTACCGACATAGTGGTTGTTTTGCCTAAAAATTTCAACACAGTTTGACTGAATCTTCGTTTACTTTTTTTTGCACAAACAATATTATACATCCTAAAGGGATGGAGGAGTGAGCTAAGTCTCACAATAGGCTAGCAATAATGTGGTTCAAATTCGCCTACATGTAATTTAAACATCTCTAATTAAAAAAAAATTAAATATTAAACTTCTTTCTCCCCACTCCCATGTTCTCTCTCTCTTCCTCTATCCTTCAATTTTAAAAATAAAAAAAAATCTCACACACTTTGTGTGTCGGCATATAGTCCTTATGATAGTTATCATTTCTTATTATAATTTGTATTACTTGGGGAGTAAGTTTCTCTCTCCTCATGATTTTTTATAAATAAAGGCACAGTCAAAGGAAATCAACATCCTTGAAATTCCTCAATTCTCTTTCTATTCTTGCCCCACTCACCCTTATTTTTCGGACCCACTCACTCTTATTTTTTGAACCTCCAGGATTTTAGTGGCAGAGATTTTGTAACAACGAGGATTGTTGGCAAAAGTTGTACGTAGGAGACTTCTCCTTTTGGTATAAATGTCATTACTCTTCTTTTACTGCAATTTATCTATGATCTGACATCACTTGTGTGATATAGGTTCAATCCCGCTCACATGCACACTTTAAATTAGTCACTTTTAGGTTTTAATTTATTCACATTTTTCACATCACTACACTTTACAGCTTCATCACCTTCTAGGTGTCGGCCAACACATCGCGATTCGGGTGTCCAAGTGGACATTCCGGATCAGGGTATGTCATAGAGCGTGCTAGAAGAAACCCTTCATAAATCAATTAAACCAGCTGAATCAACATAATAAAAGTGGTCTTTCAATTTCCATCTACATTCTATTGAATTTACATTAAGATTAGAGAAAATAATATTTAATAAACAACTAATTGAATTACATTATTACTAACCCCTTGTGAGGCTAAGCCCACCCCCTTCCCCTTAGTGTAGATAATATCGTTTGTTAAAAAAATTCATTTGACAACTAATTGAATCATATTATTATGCGCGTGTGAAATGCTTTTTTTATAATTGGCACTACGTGCCTCTTTAGTGTTTAAAAATAGAGAAAATAATATTTAATAAACATCTGCGTGCAAAAGACATTTTTTTAAATCACGGCGCGCTACGCGCCTCTTAAAATGTTTTGAACATAACCTTCATGATTTTCCTTATTTTTTATTATATTTTCCTTTTCCCTTCACGTGGGAACCAACAACTTTTACTCATCATTTCATTTTTTTTATTCTTTTCTCTCTTCCCACTTATATTTATATTAAATTTTTATGACAAAATTACCAAATTACCCCTGCACTATTTTGGACTACTTTTAAATTTTGTTGTTTTTTGGGGCATTTTTGTCCAAACATTTTTGGTGAAGTTGTGACCTCAAATTGGGTTTGCTGGCTTTATATACAAAGATATGCCCACACACAAAGTGTGTGTGAAATTCTTTATTTTTATTTTTAAAATTGAAGAAGAGAAGAAGAGAGTGAGAGAGAACGTGAGAGTTGGGAGAGAAGGAGATAGGTTTATTTTAAAATTTTTTTTTTTTTTTTTAAATTAGTGATGTTAAAATCATTTATAGGTGAGGCTTAAACAAAAAACAGCAAAATTTTGTTTTGTGAAAATACATTACTGCCCTTAACTTTTTTGTTGTGATAGAAAACTAAATTATCTTTTCGCTCTTTTTTGGTTGACAAAGAGGGTTCTATTAAGAGAAATTAGGTTATCATCCCTTTTTTTGCTACTTCATTAATTAAAACCTTATTCTTTTTCAATTTTTGATGAAGTTCCTTAGGTTTTAATAAACGTCATTAATTATTTCAATAATAAAATATTTTTTATTTCTAAATATGTTCATTTATTGTTAGAAATGTTTCGTATGGTATATTTATATTTATGGCTAAATTTTTTATCATATATTTTCATTTTTATTTTGTACCCATTTTAATTTGTACCAATTTTCTTTTTAGTTTTAATTTGTACCAATACATTAATTCCTTTTTGTGCCCATATTTTTTAAAATTTTATTTGTATTTGTACCCATATTTTCTAATTTATTTGTACCCATTTTTAATTTTGCTAAATATAACCATGCTAATTATATGCATTTATTTTATGTTTTAAAATATATCATTAGTTATTTTTTAAAAGTGGGTACATTATTTTTTTGCTATAATTTTGTAAAGAACAACATTACTCTATTATTGATTTTTAAGTATTTATTATATTTTAAAAATATTATTTGAAGTTTTTTAAATTTCATAATTTGTGGGACATTAAATGCATAAATGCATGAGTTAAATTTCTTAAACCTCAATCAAAATATTTAAACAAACAAGGTTTTAGTCTAACAATTAGACTGATTAGGGACCGCAACCAAAAAGACTCGTTCTATTAATATGTAATTTAGACCATCCCTAAATAAGATGCCAAATTTTAAACAAAAATTTTAAAATTTAAAATTCAAGCTTATGTGACTCATCAATCGATATGTTGTATCCCACATCGCCCGTGAGGGCGTGGTCTTTGGGCCTTATATATCCATTGCCAGCATGTACCTTTCAGTGAGGCCTTTTGGAGCTGCGGCTTGCAAGGACAAAACCGTGCGGTAGCCCTCTGCTGTGACCTAGTCCAGAGGGGGAATGCCAAAGCGGACAATATCACTGCGAGGGAGGGTTGGGATGTGACAGATATGTCAAATTTAAACAATTATTAATTGTATGACAAAAAAAAATTATTAATTGCATTATTTACTTTTCATTAGGGGTGGGCGAGGTTCGGTTTGGTGTGGAGTTTTTGCGGTTTTGGTTCGGTGCAGTTTTGAGGTTAAAACCGAAATGAAACCAAACCTTTTGGTTCGGTTTGGTTTGCTTTTAAACGGTTTTGGTTTGGTTGGGTTTCATTGTTTGAAAAAATAATACACTATTAAAATTCAATCATGCATACACTATTAAAACTGCAAGTTACTGCATTGTTCAAGCATGCATACAATATTAACATTCAATCAAGCATGACTTCAATTATAATCAGGCATGCATGCGTACAACATACATTATTACACTGATTCAACTAGAATCTTTTGATTGGCTTGAAGCTTGTTGTGGTTGTGAATTAAGAATAATAGCAAGCACAACAATTAACATCAATTAACATCAACAAAGTGGTACGAAAGGTGGATATGCATTCGGTGCATGTGAATATTACCTACATAGGGTTTGTTTTCGAGTGTGCTAATGGATTTTCGTGTTTTGAATGACTGACTACCATTTGGTGCATGTGAATGAATAATATCTAAAGCAGCAAGTATTGTTTGTTTGAAATATCTAACTGAGTGGAGACCGAGGGAGAGACAGAGAGTTAGATGAAGAATGAAGTTGAGTAGCAAATGAGTAAAAGAAAGAAAGAGTAAATGAGTAAATGAAGTTGAATAGATTTCCATGTTTTTCTTGTTTCTGGTACGGCTTTGATTGATTACCCCCCTCATCCACCTTCGATTTTATGTGAGCCGGTAATGGCATATATTTTAGCCACACAGGAGCTGCATCAATCTGTCTCGTTTGATCTGAACGAACAATCACCATGGTCATTTATACGTACTTCATTGGTGGCAGTCTATGTATTTATACGTCCTTACGGCAACTGAACCAATTTGGAACTTCGCTGCCTGGAAGTAGAACACTTGATAGCACTTCCCCGCCTGTAAGATTCATATCATGGAGACGGCGACAGCCAAATTTTCGCATAGCCTTTGGCAACTAGACACGTCCATCCAACGAATGAGTCTCACATCTCCGTCTCCCCATATCATCTTTGATTATGTTGAAACTATTTCCTTTGATATTGCACCATCACATTCTCACATTTTAATTAGTTACATTCATCATCCAACTCTTTTTTTTTCTATTGAAGAAAAAATTATTAAAGAGAGAAACTGCGAGTACAACCAGCACCAGTAAAGCCCGAATGAAAAGATGTTTTAGCAAACAAAGGGATACATAATTCCCAATAATGATTATACTGAACTAGAAACCCTTGTCGAGCGAAAGCATCCGCCACAGAATTTTCCTGTATGAAAATGTGATTCTATCCAACATCAGAGAAATTCGAGGTCAGCCAACGGATATCTTCAACAAGAGAGGTGAGATTCCAAGGAATCTCACAATGATTCTGGACTGCTTGAGTGATGAGACGACTAAAAATGGATTTGAAACTGCTTGAGTGTTAGAAGGCCACTTGCTTGTAATTAGTATTCTTAAAACAAAAGATAATAACAAAAATTATAAAAAGCATTTATTATCCACTAAAAATAGATTTGAAACTGCTACCAAATTTGACAGCAACTCCTTCTGTTGCCATTTTATGTCATACCACATAGGAATTGACATTTCGGTTGGAAACCATAGTGCTGTCTTTTTTAACCGTTATTGATTATGTGGACTTTTCAACATCTCATTTAAATATGCTCTTAGATATACTTTATACAAGCTTTTTAAGGAAGGGACCCCATTTAAAAAAAAATTGTTAATTAGTTGTGTTACCCACCTCTACATTGAATTCAATGATCTGAATTGTCTATTTTGTAAGTCTCGATTCATAAATCATCCTTGCACAATTCAATTTAATTTGAATTCATTTGCCTATTTAATTATCACGATAAAATTTAAATGTTGTTTGGATCCAATGTCATAGTCTAAACTACATTTTAATAAAACACTGTTTGTCGACCAAAAACTAATAAAATTACTAGTATACCCTTTAAAACAAAACTGAAAGAAGATATTAGAAAATAAAACAATGTGGGCATTAAAATAATTTTGTACAAACAAGTTTTTACTGTTTTTTTTTTTAAACCTCACAGCTATGAGCTATGTCACCTTATCAATACCCTCCCAACTGCAAGTGGCCATTTGCCACAGTTGTGGGAAATTGTTGAGTTCTTACATTACGGCATAGCTTCAAACCTCTTTGGTGGCTAACCCACCCAAATCATTTTCTCTTTCCTATTTTTTTGGGATGTAAAAACAAATAACTCCTGCACTCCAAAAATTTCATTGTGCATTTCAAACTTTTTATAATTAAAAAAAATATATACAGGAGTATAGATTGAAACTTTTAAAATACTAATAACAGTTTCATATTTAAAATAAAATAAAAAATATATTTCTCATCACACAAAGTGTGTGACCTTTACAAGTACACCAAATACTATAATATACTTGGGTGAAAACAAATAAAAATTCTCTTCCTTAATTTAACTCTTCTTCGGGGACTAGTTTAAAGAAGTGAGGTTTGCTGAATTTGTGTAGCCAACTGAAACTGAAGATGAAGATGAAAAGGATAACCACAAGACCTCCATCTCGAGGTAATCTTCCTTCTTTCATTTTTACCATTCTGCGGAATCCAAGTAGGGGATTTCATTCCGACGCTGTTAATGCTAATCCTACTTGTACGCATACAATTAAACGAACCCATTTGGTGTCGGAGAGTATGATTCAGACTCGATGCAAATCTGGAAAAATTAGGAAAGATGAAGCTTTGGGTTACTTTAATTCCATGATTCAAACCAAACCCTTGCCCTCTATTTGGACTTTCAATTGTTTGTTGGGGGCACTATCCAAGATGAAGCAATATTCTGCTGTGGTTTCTATGTGTAAACAGTTGATGGGTTACGCTCATTTCGGACCTGATGTCAGTACAATGACTATTTTTATGAATTGCTTGTGCCGTCTGAACCGGGTGGATTTGGGTTTCCCTGTTTTAGCAATTACCCTTAAATACGGTCTTCAACCCAATGCTTATTCTATGAATACTTTGCTTCATGGATTGTGTAAAGAAAGCCGAATGGATGATGCCTTGACCCTATTTCGAGATATGATCAGCAAAAGTGTTGTACCGGATATTATCAGTTATAACACTTTGATTCATGGGTTATGCAACATGAGTCGCTGGGAAGAAGTGCTCCCTCTTTTTGAAGGAATGGAAGATCATGGAGTCAGGCCAGATGTTGTCACCTACACCACTTTAATTTATGCGTTGTGCCGATCGGGGAGGTTGGAAAAAGCCAAGAGCTTCTTGGTTTGCATGCTTAACAGTGGAATTTCACCCGATGTATACACCTATAATGTTCTTATGAACACTCTTTGCAAGGAAGAAAGAATTCAAGAAGCGCTTACTCTGTTGGAAACTATGACAACGAAAGGCATAAAGCCTAACGTTGTCACTTTTAATTCCTTGATTTCTGCTTCATGCAAGTCGGGTAACTGGGAGGAAGCTGTGATGTTATTTAAAACCATGATTGATCATGGAGTCTTGCCTGATATTGTTACATACAATTCTGTACTGGATGCTTTATGCAAGGAAGGGAAGACAACAGAGGCACTGAATCTTGTCAACGAAATGTTCCGTAGAGGGGAAAAGCCTGATGTTGTGACTTACAGCTCTTTAATTAAAGGATTGTGTCGTACCAGCCAATGGAAAGAAGCCACAAGGTTGTTTGATGAAATGGTATGCCATGGAATCTTACCTAATTTCATAACTTTGAAGATACTTTCGGGTGCTCTCTGCAATGAAGTGATGACTGATGAGGTTCGCGAAGAATTTAAGGCGAGAATAGATGGAGCTTTGTAGCTTGGTAAGGAAATGGTCCAAAAAGGATTGATGCCCGGTCTGGAAACGGGAAGAACTTTAAGAGGTTCTTTGTCCTACTGCTTCATGTGCAGAACAACACGTTACATGGTTTGAAATTTATATGAATGAAGAGTGGTCATATATTAGTGATACATTTCCATTCACTTGGTATGTTTTTCTTGTTTTTGTTACGCTTTTGATTCATCACCTTCCTCACCCACCTTCGAGTTTATGTGAGCCGGAAATGGAATATATTTTAGCCGCACATGAGCTGCATCGATCCCTCTCGTTTGATCTAAACAAACAATCACCGTGGTCATTTATACGTAATTCATCGACTGCAGTCTCTGTTTATACGTCCTTACAGCAACTGAACCAATTTGGAACTTCACTGCCTAGAAGTATAACACTCATAGCGCTTCACATAATATAGATGAGCAACGAAAATTTGCAAGGACACGTTTAATACATTGGTATTGCACATTGGATATAAATACATAGCCGTGAGGGGCTTGCAGCTTGGTTGGTTAAGAGAATTTAGCCATTCGATTAGAACTTTGAATAATGTAGTGAAGTTTTGCCGAAAATTTATGTAGAACACAGTGGGACGTTACTGAAATTACCGACATTTTCTGTGGGAGAGTGCAAGATATCTAATGCTGAATTCAATACCTAGATATTTCTAGTCCGTTGTGTGGTTTAGCTCTGAAATTTCGTCCCATATCAAACTTCGACTAACTTTGAACCGTCGCGTAAAATACAGTACCAAAGCCTACTAAAAATCCCAGACTCAAATAACCATACTGACAATATGCACCTAAGTCGGTAGAAGTAAACACTTAGAGCTAACACACAGACAATATGTGCATCAATGATTGAAAACTTCACTTCCAAATTTCTGAACTGAGACGCTACGGATGCTGATGCGCAGATGAGCAGCATAAAAATTGTGCCCAGTACGGTCTCCCCTTGGCTTTCTGCTTTTCACTCTTGATCTCTGTAGGGTATCTTGCCGGAGAGTTCCATTCTTTTGCATTGTCTTTCCTAGATGCCTGACCTGTCGGTGATTCGGGAGCCAGAATTGAGTTCACTGTCGTTGTTGGACGACCATTGTCCTTCCCCGTCACTGCTTTATCATCTTTCTGAAGCGCACGGGCTTGACTTTCTTTTTGGTTCGGTGACTTGGCTTTGTTCTCTAGGTAGGCCTCACCCAAAAGGTTTTTCAAAGGAGTGTGTTGCTTCCCAGTGCTCCAGTTTGTAACCTTGGCGATGATCTCTTCATTCTTCCTTCTCCCTGGTGATTCGTTCACAACATGAGTAATAGAAGGAAACCACCCAGCCTGCAAAGGTGCAGGTTTTGGCTGTTCCGGGTTCTGTGCTGTCTTGATTTCAGCACCAGTAGCCTTTTGATTATCAACGCCTCCAGGTTCAACCAATGTCATGAAAGACTGTGCCTCAAACGTATCAGATTTGTCAGAGTATTGCCTCTCAGATGCAAGTTTCGCCTTCTTTTCCAATGAAGCTTGGGGATCTGTAAGTGGTACAGCTTCAGCATCAAGAACAGCTTGTGCCTCTGACTGGATAGAATAAACTGTACCATGCATCAACAGCAAATAGACCGAAGTTAGGAAATTTTAACACTTCCTTTTGAGCAAAAGCATTGAAAAAGGTATTTATGCATAGAGAAAAGACAGTAAAAGACAGCCTAGAAACAAAAAATATAAATATGGTATACAACTATTCTAAACAATTGTAAATCTATCAACAAAAAACATTATTAAACGATATATAAACTGGTCCAACGAGAAAGTGATATTAAGGAGACCCTCTAGGATGGACATATATGCTACACCTACAAAAATATAACTTTTATACGTAACTCATTAATACTTATACCTGAAACAGATCCCCAGTTGCCTTCGAGGCTGTCAGTTTGGCTATTCGAGTCAACAACATCAAGTGCAGACGAATTTGTCTTCGGGGACTAAGGGCTCGTTTGGATGTGCTTTTAAAAAAACTGAAAACGTTTTTAGAGAAAATACTTTTGAGTTCCAAAAGCATTTGAAGTGCCTTCTGCAAGAAGCACCAGTTATGTACTTCTTTTAGAAAGAACTTTAATGTTTTTCCAGTATTTACTTTTATTTTTACTAAGAATTGGTTCTAAAAATATTTTTAACAAAAACGTTTTCAATTATTTTAAAGTACATCCATACAAACTTGGTTAAAGAAGTGAGGTTTGCTGAATTTGTGTAGCGAACTGAAACTGAAGAGGAAGATGAAGAGGATAACCACAAGACCTCCATCTCCAGGTAATCTTCCTTCTTTCATTTTTACCATTCTGCAGAATCCAAGTCGGGGATTTCATTCCGATGCTGTTCATGCTAATCCTACTTGTACGCATCCAATTAAACAAACCCATTTGGTGTCGGAGAGTATGATTCAGACTCGATGCAAATCTGGAAAAATTAAGAAAGATGAAGCATTGGGTTACTTTAATTCCATGATTCAAATCAAACCCTTGCCCTCTATTTGGACTTTCAATTATTTGTTGAGGGCACTATCCAAGATGAAGCAATATTCTGCTGTGGTTTCTATGTGTGCAGTTGATGGGTTGCGATCAATTCCGACCTAATGTATGTACAATGAATATTTTTCTGAATTGCTTGTGCCGGCTGAACCGGGTGAACGCTTGTTTCTCTGCTTTAGCAATTACCCTTAAATATGGTCTTAAGCCCGATGCATGTTCTATAAATACTTTGCTTCACGGGCTTTGCAAGTACAGTTCCCTGGCAGAGGCAACGCCGTTCTTCCAAGAAATAGAAACGAAGGGATATAAATGCGATGAAATCACTTATGGTACAGTGATCAATGGACTATGCAAAGCTGGGAAAACTTCTAAGGCTCTCGAGATACTTATCAAGATGTGGGAAGATGGAAGGTTCAAGCCCAACCAAGAATGCTACAATCCAATCATCGATAGCCTCTGTAAAGAAAGACAAATAGATGAGGCCTTGACCCTATTTCGAGATATGATCAGCAAAAGTGTTGTACCGAATATTTTCAATTGTACCACATTGATTCATGGGTTATGCAACACGAGTTGCTGGGAAGAAGTGCTCTCTCTTTTTGAAGAAATGGTAGATCAAGGAGTCAAGCCTAATGTCGTCACCTACACCACTCTAATTTATGCATTGTGCCAATCGGGGAGGTTGGAAAAGGCCAAGAGCTTCTTGATTTGCATGCTTAACGGGCGGAATTTCACCAGATGTATACACATATAGTGTTCTAATCAATGCTCTGTGCAAGGATGACCGAATTCAAGAAGCACTCTCTCTGTTTGAACAGATGAAAACGAAAGGCATAAAGGTTAAGGTTGTCACTTTTACTTCCTTGATTTCTGCTTAATGCAAGTCTGGTAACTGGGAGGAAGGTGTGAGGTTACTTAAAAGCATGATTGATTATGGAGCCTTGCCTAATATTGTTACATACAATTCCGTACTGGATGCTTTATACAAGGAAGGGAAGACAGCAGAGGCACTGAATCTTGTCGACGAAATGTTCCGTGGAGGGGAAAAGCCTGATGTTGTGACTTACAACACTTTAATTAAAGGATTGTGTCGTACCAGGCAATGGAAAGAAGCCACAAGGTTGTCTGACGAAATGTAATGCCATGGAATCTTACCTAATTTCATAACTTTGAAGATACTTTCGGGTGCTCTCTGCAATGAAGTGACTGATGATGTTCGCGAAGAATTTATGGCGAGAATAGATGGAACTTCAAAGCTTGGTAAGAAAAGGTCCAAGAAGGAATGATGCCTCAAATCCTGGTCTGGAAACGGGAAGAGCTTTAAGAGGTTCTTTGTCCTAATGCTTCATGCATGTGCAGAAAAACATGTTACATGGTTTGAAATTTATGGATTTACGATCGTGATTTATTTGGATTTACAAATGTGAATTACCTTGGATTTATGTGTCGAGACTTTGAGCTTGTAAGCTTCGGATTTGGATATGAGATTTTGAGATATGTTGTCGTTATGTATCTAGTGGGTTATCATACAACACATCCACACAACACATGTATGTAGACGTCTATGGCCATAGGACACAGTTGAGGAGATTTATGTATATACCTCTTCTTTGGCAACTAGACACGTCCATCCAACGAATGAGTCTCATGTCTCCCATATCATCTTCGACAATGTTGAAACTATTTCCTTTGATATTGCACCATCACATTCTCACATTTTAATTGTCAAAACATTTTTCTTAACAAACTCTTTCTGATTAGCTGTTGCCCCTCTTCATTTTGCAACCACGTTGCTGATTTGGTACAAAACTCACCATTAGAGGAAGCAGATCGTAACATTACAATTTTTTGTTAACTATATCCACACTTAAAACTTGATTAAGTTTGAAGTGATTCCAACGGTTATTTTCAATAAAATGACTAACCTTTTCCAGTCTAAAGCACTTCTTTGATCCTTGGGAGCAAGATGGAAGTGGGCAAGGAAAAATCTAATGATGGGTTCAAAAGCATACGTCTTGACCATTACCCACAATTCATCTTGTGCCTTTCTAGAGCACATCTCTACTTCTAAGAATCATTTTACAGTCCAAAGAGTGATCTTGCCTAAAGTATTTTCTTCTTTACTAACTGGACCACCAATTATTTTCTTGAGAAAACACCTTCCAGCTTAATTTGGCAAGATAAGCGTTATTTAAATAATCCGATCTTTTGATGGAGGTTTAAACTTTCCAATGTTGTGCCATTAGTTGTGTTCGTAAATGAAAAAAAAAAAGGTGTTTTTTTTGTTTCTTTTCAAAATCATGGGTCCAAATAGTAGGATATAGAAGCAGCTTTGCACATGCTTCTAAAAGAAATTACTTTTTTTTTTTTAATTAAGGGCAAGTAAACATTACCAATTAATGAAATTTTCATATTAACAATCTCATCCTTTTTTTTAAGAAAAAAAACACTTTTAGCATTACTTGTTTATCAAACACTTATTTATTTATTTTTCCACGTCTATTTATTCTCGCCGAAGCAGTTTTGAAAAAAATACACAATAACCTCAAAACTTGAGTTCCTTATTTTTCATCTTCCTCGAAAGTGACTAGTTTAACGAAGTGAGGTTTGCTGAATTTGTCCAGCAAACTGAAACTGAAGAGGACGATGAAAAGGATAACTGCAAGAACTCCATTCCCAGGTAATCTTCCTTCTTTCATTTTTACCATTCTGCAGAATCCAAGTCGGGGATTTCATTCCGACGCTGTTAATTCTAATCCTACTTGTACGCATACAATTGAACAAACCCATTTGGTGTCGGAGAGTGTGATTCAGACTCGATGCAAATCTGGAAAAATTGGGAAAGATGAAGCTTTGGGTTACTTGAATTCCATGATTCAAACCAAACCCTTGCCCTCTATTTGGACTTTCAATTATTTGTTGGGGGCACTCTCCAAGATGAAGCAATATTCTGCTGTGGTTTCTATGTGTAAACGGTTGATGGGCTGCGCTCATTTCCGACCTGATGTCTGTACAATGACTATTTTTCTGAATTGCTTGTGCCGTCTGAACCGGGTGGATTTGGGCTACCCTGTTTTAGCAATTACCCTTAAATACGGTCTTCAACCCAATGCTCCTTCTATGAATACTTTGCTTCATGGGCTTTGCAAGTACAGTTCCCTGGCTGAGGCAATGGAGCTGTTCAAGTTAATAGAAGACAAGGGATACAAATGCAATGAAATCACTTATGCTACCATGATCAATGGACTATGCAAGGCTGGGAAAACTTCTAAGGCACTCGAGATACTTACGAATATGTTGGAAGATGGAAGGTTTAAGCCAAACCAAGGTTGCTACAATCCAATCATCGATAGCTTGTGTAAAGAAAGCCGAATGGATGATGCCTTGACCCTATTTCAAGATATGATCAGCAAAAGTGTTGTACCGGATATTATCAGTTATAACTCTTTGATTCATGGGTTATGCAACATGAGTCGCTGGGAAGAAGTGCTCCCTCTTTTTGAAGGAATGGAAGATCATGGAGTCAGGCCAAATGTTGTCACCTACACCACTTTAATTTATGCATTGTGCCAATCGGGGAGGTTGGAAAAAGCCAAGAGCTTCTTGGTTTGCATGCTTAACAGTGGAATTTCACCCGATGTATACACCTATAATGTTCTTATGAACACTCTTTGCAAGGAAGAAAGAATTCAAGAAGCGCTTACTCTGTTGGAAACTATGACAACGAAAGGCATAAAGCCGGATGTTGTCACTTTTACTTCCTTGATTTCTGCTTCATGCAAGTCTGGTAACTGGGAAGAAGGTGTGAGGCTATTCAAAACCATGATTGGTTATGGAGCCTTGCCTGATATTGTTACATACAATTCTGTACTGGATGCTTTATGCAAGGAAGGGAAGACAACAGAGGCGCTGAATCTTGTCAACGAAATGTTCCGTAGAGGGGAAAAGCCTGATGTTGTGACTTACAACTCTTTAATTAAAGGATTGTGTCGTACCAGCCAATGGAAAGAAGCCACAAGGTTGTTTGATGAAATGGTATGCCATGGAATCTTACCTGATTTCATAACTTTGAAGATACTTTCGGGTGCTCTCTGCAATGAAGTGATGACTGATGAGGTTCGCAAAGAATTTAAGGCGAGAATAGATGGAGCTTTGTAGCTTGGTAAGGAAATGGTCCAAAAAGGATTGATGCCCGGTCTGGAAACGGGAAGAACTTTAAGAGGTTCTTTGTCCTACTGCTTCATGTGCAGAACAACACGTTACATGGTTTGAAATTTATATGAATGAAGAGTGGTCATATATTAGTGATACATTTCCATTCACTTGGTATGTTTTTCTTGTTTTTGTTACGCTTTTGATTCATCACCTTCCTCACCCACCTTCGAGTTTATGCGAGCCGGAAATGGAATATATTTTAGCCGCACATGAGCTGCATCGATCCCTCTCGTTTGATCTAAACAAACAATCACCGTGGTCATTTATACGTAATTCATCGACTGCAGTCTCTGTTTATACGTCCTTACAGCAACTGAACCAATTTGGAACTTCACTGCCTAGAAGTATAACACTCATAGCGCTTCACATAATATAGATGAGCAACGAAAATTTGCAAGGACACGTTTAATACATTGGTATTGCACATTGGACATAAATACATAGCCGTGAGGGGCTTGCAGCTTGGTTGGTTAAGAGAATTTAGCCATTCGATTAGAACTTTGAATGATGTAGTGAAGTTTTGCCGAAAATTTATGTAGAACACAGTGGGACGTTACTGAAATTACCGACATTTTCAGTGGGAGAG